CCGCCCCCCCCCCCCCACCCCCGAGTGAATGCGCGCGGAGGCGAGGGGAAAGTTGCCAGTCAGAGGACGCTCGCGACCGACATCCGGCAGCGGGCTGATCCTATTCAGTCCAGTAAAGCTGGTTATTTTGAACAGGAAATCGACTTTGGGAGAGGATGATGCAGTTTCTAGGCTACTAGGACTACTTTATTAGAGACCCGACATTAAATTCCAAAATCTCACACGTTTTCCATGAGCGATTGTCTATTCCATTTTCCGAGTCAGTTCAAGCGAAAACCAAACGTCAAAATTGTGCATCTCCTTTCACCATTACAAAAATGAAGACTTGAGTATATGAAATCGTGAGCACATAGTATTCCAGGCGCCTGACTGCGGCGCTCTGGAATACTATGTGCTCAAAACTAAAGACAATAAAGTGATTCTAGAAATTCCTTTTTAAAAAGACGGTCAACTTCATTCTGGGAATGTAGATGGCAAGGAGTGTCACCGTTGAAATAGGTTTAAAAGTCTGTTCACGAAAATCGGTCAGTGAGTGATAAGCCTACTTCGAAAAACCCACTTGGTTGCCATGATAATGCATTTAAGTTGTTTTCGAAAATCCCGAATCCATGGCACGCTTACGAAGAAGCACAACCATCGATTGCCTAGGCAATACGCACGAGGCGCAACCCAGTCACCAGTTTGCGAAAATACTCAGCTAGAGTGATGACGCTTTTTTAGGGGGAGGCTGCTGCTGCTGCTGCCGCTGCTACGAGAGCCGCTTTCCGTACACGCACACGTAGCTGCCGAGTGCCAAAGGCATATCAGCTTACCAAACTGCGCTGCGAACAGTTAAAGCGCTTTTCTCGTCCGAGCACCCAATTCCGCTGCAACGCGCTGCTAGCATGCCAAAGCCAGATTAGAGGGACTACACACATTGGAAAGGCTAACATCAAAGTTGATTGACTGGTTATCCATGTGTTGAATCGGATGCCGACTAAGACCGCGCCCTCACGTGCTATTAATTTGAGCGTTCGCGACAGTCTGACGCTACGCTAAGTTTACTTAGCCTGCAATGGTCATTTTGTGCGGTCAAATCCATTCATACCTAAACAAGGCTGATTATTGTACGCGGTCTGTCAAACAGCACCATCGAACCACGTGAGTGGCGATGATGGGAAGCAGGATAAGTGTGCAAAGATTTTAACACGTGCCACATCAAGGGAGTAGAAAGCAGGGCTGTGTATTTGTCCACTTGCCCGCACATGAAAATATCCCAACTGTACATATGGTCGTGCAAGCTGCGACCTAAACAGCTGTTCTGGAAAGGTGGGAAACACCAAAAAATGCGCCTAATGTCGTAACTGGGAGTCCACCGCGTTGGAAATCGACTGTGAGTTGTTGAGTCGAGCAGACGCGTCGTGATTTAGCAGTTTCTTCATAGAGAGTACGGGCTGATTCCTGTGATCCTCCGGACAGTGTACCATGTACCCAATACTTGACCGGGCCTGCCCGGTCAATTAATATTACCCAAAGATAAAATTAGGGCCGTTGTGTCATTGTCAGGGTTAACGAGATCTCAGTGCAAGTGATATCAAGGGTGAAGTGAACTTGAGATACGTGAAAAATTTCAATCCTGAAACGTGTGTTTAGGCCTTTGCATTAGTCAGCAGACATTACATCGAAATTAATGCGCAAACTTACATGTCTTAAACTAAACAGGCCAGGAAAGTAAACACCTGCATTAAGTTTAGAATGCAGGCTAGGCCAGTGCGGATTCTGGAGCGTTTAGAGCAATATCGAGAAATTTATATGCACACCATCCAGGAAATAAGGCGATTATTTTTAAACTAAGGTCTACCAGCCCGTGTAATGAATAGTAGAGACCACAGATTTGGCCAACAAGGCTAAGAGTTTAAAGTACCGGTATGGGCAAAAGCTGGCCTCCTGGAACTAACCCAGATGGTCATTATTTGTTTCGTACGGTACAACGATTTGCTAGAGCGTGAAATACAAAATTAAATTTTAGAGGGATAACAAACGGGTTTCATGACTACTTAAAGATTCCCATATAATGGCACGTACAATTCCTTTAAAAAACCACACTCCCATCAAGTCTTTATACCATGTATGCAGCTACCGAACTCTGAAACACCAATAACAACACCAATGAAGTAGACGATGACTTACTCCAGGGAAGTAGCTGAATTGAGAGTCACCAAAGTTGCATTCTACCGTGCTGTTGTTTAACGCAACAGTGGGGAAAAATGCTACTTTTTTAGCTGCAGTGGCAGCACCACTGCCATTGGCAAGAGCTGCATTAAAGTCAGCGGGAAGTCGGTAGGCGTCGCCGAAGGGATGGCCGTTCTTTGCCCACTTGAAGGTGCGTTGAGTCAAATCGAGGAAGCACCCGATCACATCTCCCTCTCCAAAACTCTAAAAAAAGACTCACTCACGTAAATAAACGAGACTGTCTCAATGAGTGGTCAACTGAGGGCGAGTTGGATTAAAACCTAAACCGACGCATTCGTGCAATTTGACTGCCACGACACTGGGAAGGGATTGCACATGACAATAACCCAACAGCAAACAGATTTAAATGGTTGGAGAAGGAACTTAGTGACATCAGAGGTTAAATTGACTCAACGCTCAACGGATTTCTCATTAGAAAGTTAAAAGACATAAATCTATTGTTTGCTGACTGCACTGACGTTACGGTGACAAGCAACTGATTTAGGGAGCTTTAAACAGTAAAAATGCACATAATAAGCAAAAGGACTCCGAACGGGGCAACAGTAGACAGAGTGGTCCTAAAGGAACACCTACACGCACGTTGCTTGTCAGCCACCATCGCCATAACTAAATGATATAGCTATAAATAAATACACACGCACCTCCCCATAGTTGTCGATGTCATTGTTGTGCATCCGTTTTCCTTGTTGTCCGCTTAAACCAAAGCCTTCGTTGTCGGAGCCGTAGCCGAATCCGAAGCGGTCGGTTCCAACCACGAGACTTCCATCCTCGGTGGTCCAACCTATCCGCGCCAGACCATTTGACTCGATCACTCGCGCCTCATAATAGTACCGGCCTTCACCTTTCACGCCCTGCACAGGAGACAGAATTGGCACCAAGTTGAATTGTCCCATGTAAAACAAATGATAATGCTTCTTCATTACAGATTATCCACCTAACTTAGCTGTTAGAATATCAGTTAAATTGGAGTGTGTGCTGATTTAAATATGAGAAGGTAACTATTTGAGACAAACATTTCCAGGTTCACAGCTTCAGGAAGATTGGTTTGCGATTCGTGCAGATTGGCGAGATTTCCTGAGAAACGTCTCAAGACTGTCCACCTCAAAGGTACGAAAATATGCACACGAATAGTTTAAACGTTTTTCGTGACAATCGACAAAGTCATCGGTGCTCGTTAAGTCCTCGTGACATTTTTGTGTGAATAGGCAAGTAAGAGAGAACGCAAATTAACTACATTTAACAGTCTAACTGAAAATCTAGGAAAACAAAACATCCGCAGAAGGCACGCTTGAATTTTGTCTGTCCGTCAAATACATTGCAATTGACGATGGAACGCATACGTCTTTTGTGAATGACTCCAACAACAATGAAGCGCAAATTTATTCATCAATAGCGCCAGATCAAGTCGACAGGGTGACGAAGTTTAAGGGGGATAGAGAAAGAGAGAGAGAGAGAGCGAAGTCCAGAATCAGCATGCATTTCAATGAGGATAAATAATGCAAGGTAAAGAATGAAGTACACAGCGCCAATAAAAGAACACTGAAGCGCACAGATCAAAGTCACACGCCAGTAAGTTTTCAAAGTCAACAGAGAGTTTCGTAGTCTAACCTAACCCACGGTCTATCACAAGGGTTCAAAGGAAACGGTAGTTCCAGGCAAACGGAGAGCAGGGTCGGGTAGAAGCAAAAGCTGGCCTTCTGGAAATAACTTAAACAGGCGGGTCTAAAGTCCGCAGAGGAAATGGTGCAAAGCAAACACTCGCAACTAAGAAAGCACCGAAAGCAGAGACAATGCAATATCACATGCGTAAAAGAAACCTCGACTAAACTGCATGGTAGGGCATACGTTAATCCGTTTCTGGTTCGTCAGGTTGATCCGGAACTTAACACACAAAAAGTGGGTCAGCGACCAAGTTGCGGATTTATGTAGGATGTTTGATTACGGCATAACAGTCGAAAATTATCAAGGCGTAAATGAAAGAGCCAGTGCTGATGGGCCGCAAAAAAGCGACTTGGCAGTACAGCGTGTGAATCGCGAAGCGGTAATGGGCATTTCACCAAACTACGCTAAATACACTGCTAGAAAGGCAAATTACTCATCGAGAAACAGGTAAACTGTATCAGAGGTGAAGTTGACAAACATTAAGTTCAAACGCTAAATGCGTTAATAAGGCGTGCGCATTTGAATTTTTTTTAAAAATAACCATGACAAGCAAAAGACGCAGCTACCCAGAAAATATTGCTAACAGTACTGAGGTAGAACATTTTGATATAGGACATTGATTGAATTCTTGCATCACTAGCCATAACTCTTACCATTTAAGGTATCTCGAATGTAGTGGGACACGAGATCCCATGTGTTGAGAGCTGCGATGAAGACGTTGCTTGTTCACTCTTACGGGGAGGGTAATGAGATTGTTGACTTATACCGTTTTGACCGAAGTCCTTATAAGTTTACACCGGGTCAGAACAATTACACATAGGACTAATATCGTCCCGCCCGTCATTGTTAAAACCCGCAATCACGATACAGCAAAAGGAAGTAAACGCAACCCAACTTGGATCGTTAGCCACAGGGGCACTGCCTGTAGGCGCGCGATGCAATGGATAAAACGGGAATGGGCTAATAAGAAATTTTGACAGTTTGCAGTAAAAACATCGAAAGGCCGCTTTCGCAATTTTCACTTCGTAGGTGCGCCAACGCCTTACCCTATTGGCTCGACACCCCTGCCACCCGGCGCCCCAGTGCGCCTGGACTGCCATCCCATCGGGCTGGACGTCCACATCTGAGGTGGCGTCGTAGGGGTTCAGGCGCCAACCGCAGTTTGAATTAGCGACTTGAGCATCGTCGGACACCTCGGCAAGGGGAACGAAGACGCCAGATTTGGGTGCAAATTCTAGTGGAGCCGATGAGCTACCTCCGAAGTTTAACATCAGACGAGAGTCCTTCATCGCAGCAGCTGTAGTAAGCAAAAGAGGGCGTTTGGTGGAGAATCAAAAACCAAAATTTCGGTTGATGCTCCACCTTGAAGGAGTACTACAAAATTAACTATCAGGCTTTTATTTATGCAATTCAGCCCAATGGTCATGCTGTGATTGACAGCCGAGTCATAAAGGCGGCTTGCTACAGTTTCCACCAAGTGTAAGCACCGAAAACAGCGTGCACAAAAGGCAATTCGATGCCAAATTGGTGACCAACTACCCCTTTATGAGGCGATAGACGGTGCTGGATTGTGGCAATAGGATAAGCCAAACATTATTATTATGATTAATGTGACCAGATTGGTAGCAAGACGCAAAATCTTATCAAAGTAACGAAAAGATACGAGAAGTGATATTTATGTGCGCAAACAAAACAAATGACATGTTCTTGCCCCTAGCTCAGCACTAAAAACGAGTAGGGAACCTGGGTGCCTGTTTTAGTCTTACCAGGGAAAAGCGGTTCGTTGATGAGATTTTCCGGAATCCTAAGGACCTGCGGACATTCGATTTCATTGCAGCTCCAGGTGGCAATACCGCGGTCCAAATCCAGACGACACCCGATGACATCGCCCTTCTTCACTAGAATCCGACCATCGGAAAAGTCGTACATTTTCCAGTTAAAGGTCACAGTGGCAGTCTGGCGGTCCTCGGCGTTGCCGAACACGAAGGCCTGATCGTCAGAACCCAGTCGGGCTAAGTCGGCTCCGTTGGTGGCCCATCCGACACCGATCGGACCATCTTCAAGGACGGTCGCTTCGTAGTAGTAACAACCGGGAGCCTTTACACCTTTGTTGGCACGGCAACCCTGTGGTGAACAGCAATGAAAAACACGACAGGAGTCATAAAATGCATTGGACAGTATTCACAGATTTCTCAATAGCTCCGTGTGGTGACAATTAAAATTCGCTTTACTGTGGCTTGCTATAAATACATATTTTCGAATAAAACAATACAATCAGAAGGATTATGCTTGTCCCAAATCACACACGTGCAACGAAAAAATATCTACACAGGTCAACCGTTTAGACATTAAAATGTGCGATTAAACTGATTAATTGGGTCAGGGTTGCTAAGAAGATCATGTTGCTGTTAAATGAAAAATGCACCAAATTATGCATACCAGTGGTTCCGAGTAGGGTTACATTAGAACTCAGGGTGTTAAATAACAATTAGTACAGAGGTCGTGCATCAAAAAAGCAACGAGCCAGAACGTGCAGTACAAGAGTAGAGGCGCACCTGCCACCCAGACTCCTGTTGTGCAGCAATATCCAGTCCCCGATCATCGATGCCCAGGCAACGGCTCCGATCGGCTGTAGATATGCGCCAAGGCTCAGGTTTGAAAACAGGACGCGGTTGACAGCCCTTCGTGGCACTCACAGATGGTCCTCGTCTGTAACCGGCGGGTGAGAAGTCACAAGCGGCCTCCCCACCACCCCAGTGATTGGGGCTGTAGCCGGCATTGACAGCAAAGGAAGTGTCGCCGAGAACATGGGGCCCATATTGATATTGCGAGGTTTCAACGTCGTACGGGGCTGAATGAAGAAATACGAAATTGACTTGACGATAGTTTTGGACAAAAAAGAGTAAGATTCTAGGTCCTTATGAAACACAAAACAGTTAAATGATAAAGCATTACTGAATAATGGCATTTCCAATTGTCAAAAGTGGCTAACACAGTATATTTTTCATGTCTAGGAACTGCATGCAGACAGACTTAGGCCCCAGCCAATCCGATCATCCTGTTTACCGACCACCTTGGATTTCCCACGAAACCAAGTTTTCTATCGTCACGAAGGGAAGTAAGACCCGGACAGGCCAAGGTGTCATAACTGTTAGTTGAAGACCAACCCTTTTTTCTAGGGCTATGTCAAACAAGTGAGCCAGCCACATGGTTCGTGTAAGCAGTTAAAAACAGTGGGAGATGTTCAAGTACTGAAGCAATTAAAGAGGAACCAGGCTAGGTTGAGTGCTGGCTTCCCCTACGCATCACGAGTGCCACTACGGAGAAAGACGAACACAAGCAACCAAGCGGCTGAGGTGGGGAGGAGTGCACACATGCGACAGACAAGCAATGAGACATTGTTTAACAAAAAAAACTGAAGAGAAACATACAACTTGCTCCGTGTGGCAGAGTGAACCAGGCTAAAAGGAGAAAAAACCGCAAGTTGCCAAAAACTGCAATTAATCGGGGACATAGACAGAAAAAAAACCACTTCAAACTCTACCACGAGCCTGTCGAGAAAGCCACAGATGTGAGAAATGGGGCCAAGCAGCTACATCGAATTACTCAGCTGTAGAATTTACCCCAATTCAGAATCGAAGGATGAAACTAACTCATACCCTAAATAAACCTTATGGGGTTCGGGATAATTTACTCAACAACTAAGCATTAACTTGCATTTAATCAGTCCACTTGAGCGATTTGTGGTGGTTTAAAAAGAAAATAACCCGAATTTTGAGCGTAAAAGAGGCAAATGTGATACTTGTGTACTACTGAACTTAGTGAGGCTAGGCTCAAGTTGAATAAGACTAGTAGCGTAGGTGATAGAAACAAAAAATAAGCAATAGATTGGGAGTGCACCTTGATCGGGGGAAGATATTTGCCTGCGTTGGGGCTGCATTCGACGGATGACAGGCTGCGGCCTCTGGTTTGGTGCCTCGGGGGAAGTGAGGTCGCCCAGGGAGTTGCCCAGACCGGAGGTGTGCTGGTTGTAGGTGTATTTTCGACTGGAGAAACCCGGCAGCACACTTGGCTTCCTCGAGCGCTCATAATCCCGCAGTCTGAATTGCAGATGCAGCAACAGAAACGGTAAACGCCAACAAGAGGAACACACTGCTGACTTCGTGGCTCGTTTTCCACCGCAGCAGTGGAATTAGGAAAAAAAGTAACATTACGATGAAAGCAGCGGGCGTCTAACAGAACTCCCAACGAAGAGGTTCATGCTGATAGGCGCCACGCACTAAGCACATTCGATATAAGCATAGATTTCGATGCATATCAAACGTACCAGACTAATCTCTGTTTAGTTCTCAAGTTTTATTTTAGAAAAAAGAACAGCAACCATCTATGTGAAAAACTTCGACAATCTCAGAGACTAAACCGATTTGAAAAAACCCACCAAACCAGCCAGTTTCTGAAAAGTATGGATAAGGGTTAATGGAAACATATCGGCTAAACACAATACATTGATTTTACGGAAATTATTACTACGCATCAAACACACTATAAGCCTTCTCAGAGTTTCCAGGTAGCAGGGGAATGAATTTTAGTGGCAGAAAAGCAGACAGATAAGATGGACGAAATCAAATTCCTGTAACGCAGTCAGCCATCAGATTCGCGTCAAATTGTCTAGAATTACACATATGATAAGTAATGCTTAACAAATAACGGCGGATATGCCACAGGAAATTTGGAATACACTATAGGCTTGAACTGACGTGCACGTGTAGTAATATGCTTCTAGATGTTGCACATCTTTAAATAAGCACAAAATTAGAAACTTAGTGTCTATAGCCTGTTTACGAAAACCAGGGTAATGGGGGTAAAGCGAAAATGCATCCTTTTACAACAACATCACAGAATAACGACAGTGTCGAGTTCCAATTTTTTTTTAAATCAAATCAGGCGAATCCAAGTGAAGTCACACCGTTGGGTGAGAAAGCGGCCAAGTTGAAAGCGGGGTGAGGGTGAGTGAGGCCGCATCGACGAGCCCAGCGTGCACTCCCGAGTGCAAGCCGCGGTCACACACTGCAAAAATCGATGTCCTCCAACACATCGATGGAGTGAGGAGCGACAGGAAGCCGTGATGGATGAAACACGCAGACCTCGACTGCCAACCGAGGCCATTATCAGACTTGGGCAACGGTGGGATTCACGTTGATGGGGTGCTTTACGTTTGATCCGAGTATTTACGTAAAGTGGAAAAGGCACCTTTCTGGCGCCAGAATGAGCACTATATGCGTGTGGATGACTGCTGTTAGGCACTAGGGTACGGGATTAAAACGAACTGTCGGTATCACGTGGTCAGGAATTTACTCTTGGTAATTAGCTTGAGAAGTGAATTTGAAAATCGTTTCAACTTCGGTATCCACAGGAGGCAGCAGATCGAGTAAACGGATATGTCGATTGCATCAAAGGAAACTATGTTAGCCCCTTAGTAGGAGAAAAAAAGGGCAAGCAGACACAAACCTGAAGAAACTGTGGTGCTCCACGCAGAGATTCCAAAGACGCTTTGCGCGCTGAGAAGTGGCGCACCTGAAGGCGTAGGTCCTCTCCGACTGGGCCTCGTCCATGGATCGCACGATCATAATGAAGTGCCGCTTCCTATAAGAGAGTTTGATAATTCGCGGCCACGAAAATCGCTGAAGGCGGATGCGACTAAGGTAGAGGAGGAGGCCCCCATAGTAGACGCCCAGTCCGTGTTCCACGCCAGATGAGCTCTAACAAAGGGCACAAATGTAAACTCACAAGTTCAATAAATCACTGATAGCGTCCGACCACACACACACACACACGGATTTCACAGAAAGGCGTGTGGATGAGTTGATAGTACAATTGCTCAAAAGCTCAACACGTTCAAAGACGAAACAACAACTTATGTCTTAATCGCTTTAATTTCGACTAGATGTGACAATTACGGCTGGATCGGTGATAACACGACCCGAAGATGAAGGTATTTCGCCCCATGAAACTACACGTGATTCAAACACAGAACACTGGAGCAAATGCGAAACAAGCCCCCAGTCTGAAAGCAAGTTACTCTCAAAATAAGCAGGGAGTGCCTCAACTGGCCACACTGGTCAGTGAACCTTAGGATATTTGCGCGTAATTAGCATCACACATAACCACATTGGCCAAACTTTTGGCAAATATTCAAAATAACCATTTAACTGAAGCTACGGTTAACATGGTGGGAAAAGAAATGTGAATTCGGAATCGCTACGAAAGGTATAGAAATCGAGATTCAAGCAATAATGAAACAGCTCAAGACTTCATGAAATTGGTTAGAAACCTAACAAAACGGAGCCAAATTTCGTACGAAAGAAGCTTTAACGGGCCAGGAGTTGTGCAACATGCCAGTCAGACAAATAACTTGCCGGTTTCCTTATCAGAATCCGGAAAGCAACCCTTAAATCGGAGGTTACTTAACTACCTGGCAGTACTGCCTGTCCATTCAAACGAATGCATAGGAAGAGAGTAGGTAAATATAAAAAAAAGCACACTTACCGTAACTTTGTGCATATGAACACCGTAGAGAGCGAGTTTTTTGGCGTTATTTAGGAAATTCCGATCTGCCATTTCCGGACATTGGCCACTAAAAGGGGTGAGGAAGGAAGGCAGGCAGTAAGCACGTGAAGGCGTGATTAATAGCGCCACACAAAAGATCAGCCATCGAGATAGGTGGGAAAGGGTGCTTGCACACAAACGACCCCACGGCCATGAAGAAGTAAGATGTCTCTTGGCAAGAAAACCACATCAGATCAGCAAATGAATGCCATTGCGATTCTGGTTTGTCTATATTTAGTAAAATAGCGGCATGGGAGACCACATGCAATGCGGATACTTGTTCCGTAACCATTTAAATCGTACTTTAATCAAGTCTTGTTTGGTAGCAACCGTAATGCGCACCCTACTCGCGTTGTGGGCGGCAGTAAAATGAAAATATAGTGGTCACTGAGGTAAGGAAGCGTGTGAGGTGTATGCACACTGAGGCGACATTCACGCGGCTTGACAGTTGCGTGTGTGGGCATGTCAGGCTAAAACCAGCTAGGCAACATTTGAGAATGGCGCAAAACGCTTACTGTGGAGCCCATGTAACGAAAACACTGGTACACATGCTACACGAGGATTAGGCGCCTAAATCCACGACGTTTTCTTTGACAATATTTTGATAGGTTAAAGGATATTCCCTAGTGTGATGCATGAGGAGGGGTCAGCTTGTGCTAAACAGGCTAAAACACGCCAGCGCGCTCCACCACGTAATCTAGGCAGTTCAAGAGCGTACTCCAAGGAGCATCCTCGCCCTGCATTAAAAGAAAGCAGAATCGAGGCGCAAAAAACAGGGGCGATGAGGAAACCAGGACGAAACAAAACAAGTGGAGGCTCGTGACGCGAAAAAAGGTCAGCTCCAGTGTGCAGGTTCCACCACCGCCACTCCCTTGGGCTACCCGATATTGCTTGGGCTTCGTTACAGCACCTTAAAACGGGAACTTGCGACTGCTACACGCGGCACGGGTCGAAATTCGTAAATGGCGGTTTCGCTCCATTTGCAAATAGTGATGCAAGGGTGCACAATAGTTCTGCGCGCATTATGCAGTAAACTTAGACCATTTGGTTCGCTTGCAGCATCCAACGACGTATGCGGTCAAATGAGCTATCGAAAGTTCCGTACTTCTACAAAAAACGATGTCCTTTAATAATTGACCGTGAAAATCTACAGTTTGGCGCATTTTATACGCTTCTTTTTATTGTTCACTAACAGTTTAAGGCGATCATGCTACGCCGTGAATGAACATGTACGTTTAAACGTTTCCACGTTTGTGGAGGACAAGATAGCTCATTTCTGGAATAACTGACCAATTGACCAACCAGGAAACTAAAATGAGCTTGAGTTGACCCTTGATGAGCCTATGTGCACAATACCATCTGAAAATTAAGCGAAACCCCAAATTTATTAATTTCGATCCATAATGTAACACTAGCAACCAAGGAAACTACAATGTGATAAAACCATGTAATAAAAATTACGAATTCAATCACCAGCGTCACATGACTAAGTACATAGAAGGTAACAAATAAGACGCGAGTATGCGGTGCATGAGGGCCGGGCAATTATTCAATGAGACCACAGAACGATTACTCGAGGATTCCCAGGGGTTAAAAAATGGTTTCGTGCAGCAGTAACACTGAAACCCGTTGAGAGGTGGGCTGATGACAAGTCGGAAAAGAAGGCCACTATCATCCTTGTATCCCTTGCAACTTCTCACTTAGGTGATATGTCGATGTTGAATAAAGTACATCCAGTTACCAGTTGAATAACACGTTAGTAGTCATTACGGCCACGACGTTGAATTGCATGGCTAGTGGGCCCAAAATGTCAAGTAAAGTCAAACAGCATTTATAGAGATCTCAGTTGGGATGAGTGCTAGACCAAATTCCAAATGAAAACCACACAGAGGGTAATACTAAGGCCTACAACACGCAAATCGTCACGTAATAGGTGTGTACGAAATCAATAACGACTTAGAAAGCAACGAAAATACACCAAACTAAATAATTAGGCTGTGCTAAGTACAATAAGAAATTATTTTAAGAGAAAGAAGATTCAACATTAAAATTCACGAGCAAACATGAAAAAGTGCGACAAAATAATTAAAAAATCGAACTGAATCGAAGGTCACTTCAAAACTATGTTTAACGACAGCAGATCCTGCTAATCGCTTACTACATCCGGAGCAGATTAGACAAAAAGCTGCGTTACGAATTCCTCAGCTGTTGTGTTTAATCACAGACCACTTCTGAAGTTAGCTTTTCAGCTTGGCTAAATAGAGACCAAAAGATATAGGGAAGATCCAGTCCGGAGAGAAGCGTGCACAGTGTCACAAATTTTAAAAAGATGTGGTCTTCCACAGTTCTAGCTGTTTACCCCATCGCCGAATTAATCGATTCATCATGTACAATAGGCTAATCACTAGCACCGAACGTAGTGTTGGCACTGGGAGCTATACGGGTTCTAGAACATGCAATAAAAACAAACTTTGTTTCCTCGGTCAATAATGTTTGGCAAGACTTGAACCATTTACCTGTAACTTACTGAGAACTGTTAAATATGAAAAATAATGGCAGAACGTAAACAATCACTGGAGCACCATGTTAGCGAGGTAAAACATGACATCACACACTAAACGACCTAGCAATGAATGCAAAGTAGATAACATAAAATAACGATTAGGAGAATAAACAGATCCTTTTCTGAACTGAGTTGAACGTACACAATAAAGAGTGATTATCAGAGGGAGGGATAGGAGGAGTTGTGGTAAAAAAGTTGAATTTTTTGGTGGGATCACAGGCTAACAGTTCTTCGTTCTGAAAGCGGATTTATCCAACGTTAGACGTCTCAAATCTACAAAAATGCTAATCGGGGCTCCTTTGCGTGAAATATCTACATTCTGAAGGTGGATGCTCGCTAGTCTAACTTTGTCTAGAGGTTTAAGTTAAGTTAAGCCAATTAAATCAAGTAATCCAAAGAAAGGCGCAGTATGCTGCTCAAGGTAATGCGAAGGCGAAGGACAGTGACTCAACGTACTGGTGCAGGCGGTGGGTCTCGGCAATGCGGTAAAGCATTTCGTTGCTCTGGAGGTGACTAGGGGCGAACGGATGGTCACGGATGTAAGCAATGCCTTGGTGTCGTTTTGGGTCGAAATCGCCAGCATCCGACTGCACAACATAGGACCCGAGGATGACGTAGGAGATGAAGGAGCAAGGAAGCCTATTTGAAGGGGAAACTCACACAGGTAATTTAACATTTCAAAGTGCTAAGCTAATGAAAACCGGAGTTTGGGAGGGCTACACTGCAAAAAATGTTGGTGTAATCGAGAGCTAGCACAACTTCATGGTGAATTCTGTACAAAACATGCATAAATTTTGAACGAGTGATAGATTAAAGGGTCTGAGACCACTTTCATTGCGTGATACCTTTGGCAATGCAATACTAACAGCACATAGCATTACAATTAACCCACGATAGGTAACCAGATGTGTAAACTATAGCCGTTAAAAATAGCACAATCAAGATGACAAAAATTAGTCGCTAGGAGAGATGAGTCATGCGTTACGAGGTCATACGAGGTGTGAAAGTTATGGACACGGTGTCCGTGATGGCTGTCAATCCCGCGCCGAAGGTTGGAGTGAAGCTATTTCTGGGACAAGGCTACCGAATTAAATGCCTGACAAAATTCTGTCACCATATTCTGCCCAAAACTTTTCAGGAACTTCGGTTTACCACGAGGCCGAATGAGTCAGAGGACGGAATTTCAAAAAGACATGCAAAATTGTGAAAGTGTCTCAGGTGCACTTTTTCATATTCAAGTGGACAGAAAAACGGGTAGAGTTTAATTCGATTTAACAAGAGAGTTCACTTGTTAACAAGAGAGAAAAAGCTGCCAGTGTGCTAACCAGGTGGCAACTTGGACTGTTTTTACAGAATCACCTGACAACTTAACAAAAAAAACCAGATACACGAAATAAAAACAAGAAATTATGAGACAGGAGCACGGGAAACCAACAGAATCTGCACCCTGCATCCTTGTCTACCACAAAATGCCCATGACAGTCAAAGCTGGTACAAGTTCGGTTGATAAAAAGCCGGTAAAACGTTTAAGGCTGGTAATGTGTGGAGTAGTCAAGCACTTGACAAGGAAGCAATTGGTAAGATTCAAACGACATTCAATCCGAGGTAACTCGTCGATGTCATTCATATCTGTCAAGATAGGTTTGCGTAACCCGGGGAAAATTAATAGTCAAGGCTTCGCTATACTTATAGTCGTGGTAAGAAAGTGCCGCAGATGTAGAACTTGGATTTTCAAAAAATTTTGACTAAAAACTACGGATGGCAATAGTAATACCCAAGGATTAAGAATGGATGTAAGCGAACGGTGCTGGGGAGGCTGACGTTTTCATCTAAATTACAGCGAACGAAATCACCCGACAATAGGGGATTATAAAAACGAACTGCAGTGTAATTTGTGGATTAATAGGCTTCCGATCATTTGTGAGAAATGCAAGCATTTTGGGTGGTGAATGGCTAACAAGTAACACGAGGCTACCAAAAGTGATTGATGTCTTTAGGCCCGTAGATATCACAACCACGATACGGGGTTTCACATAGGCTTCAATGTTTGACCGACTGCATAAAGAACACGTGGGAAACCCGACCGAGTGACCCGTTAAGTAACCCCGAACCAGCCAGGATGAGGCCGACAACGACGACCGACGCCCGCGTCGGCCGGTAGGTGAGTCATCAAGCGGCCGAAAGTGACAGCGCTGCCGATTAAGACCACCTCCCCTTCCGACGCCGCCTCCATGACGCAGATCATTTAATTCGCGTAATCAGTTCCCATAGTCAAAAAGCGCTGAATGACTAGCTATGTTTATAATTACACACAATCAATCTCACGGACAGTAGTAAATATCTTACGACTTTAAGAGATCCACATGGCTGATTGAATTACGACACGATAATTAACGGTGAATAAACTTTTTGACCAATTGAGTGCGACTTTCTGAGTGTAAACAACAGCAATGGCATTGAAATTTTAATAGTAAGAAATAATATCATAAAACGGCGCCCTTAGCCACAGCGGTGCTTGGTGCGCCAACTTACTACTAGCCCCAGGAACCCACTTGAGTTTTAGCACGTGGCTACCACCCATGATTTAGATGTGAAAATTAGTTTCGTACGAGAGAGTAACTTGTTTCGTGTGAATTTACCGTTTGCGTAGGATTAGGTCAAGACACAATACAGGCAAGGGAAGCGTCTAGTACCCATGTTTAGGCTGGGAGATGACGCAAAGTTGGAACCACTAACACACTGATAGGACGACGAATCGATCGACGGGTCGCTTTTATGTTTTCGTGCAAACTACCTACCAATGTATAAGGGACAAAACGAAAACGACCTATCAATAAAAGAAGCACACACACACACACCCCCGTTGACGTGGTGTGGATGTTTGGTAAATACGCAAATAGTGCATCAACACATATCTATTTATAGATAAGTAGAATGCGAAGGTATTAAAGATGAACTGAGTGCGCTGCTTGACCGCATGAGCGAAGTCCGGCTTAGAGTAGCAGTAAGTGAAGTTTGGCTTTACATGTCACCTGCTGCGTGTCAAGAAGCACACATCCCGAGGTAGTAAATGCATAGGAACGCTTAAAAACATAAAAGGTTCGAAAGTGTGGGCGGGAGCTAAATTAGGAAAGAAAAGCCTGTTGATCTAAACAACGCTAGAAGCCTTTCGGCGTGAGTAGCAATTTCCATCGTAACTAACATACACGATGATGAATGGTAAGAAGCCCTGGTGTCTAATTAAGCCAAAAATTTTACGTGTGATTAGTTTACAACAGAGAGAGCTTCCTCATAAATAGAAGGGTGAAACATTGAAAAATTGGCCGGCGATCGAGTAATTTTTAACCGATTCAATCAAAATTCACAAAGAGGTAGAAATGGGAAGAGTAGATAGGTGATCTGAGAGGAAATGCGTCTTTCATACAGCCGTGTTAAGCAGGCGGGTAGCTGATTGACTTAAAAAAGATGGGGTTTAAATTGTGCAAAATGAAAGAGCAAACGTCGGTTTAAGGATTGATTGCACTACAGTTGCTTGGCTTTCCAAACGACAAAAAGCAATCCTGAGGTCCGACGGTTCGTGATCGAATCAACAGGCGACTTAATCACCGGAAAGGCAGGCCAGCAGGAAGTAAGATTAGCGATGCTGACAAACTATCCTTGTGCCCCAGATCACCCTCCTTCCATTCATGGAAACTCAGTGAATGAAGCAGGAATGAGAAAATATCGAATATTTGTCAGACGTGAGTAGATTTTGGAGCACAGATATTAATTATCACCATAAAACAAGTTACGCTGAACTGACTAGCATAAGGCGCAACGATGCAATAAACATCAAACGACATGTGGCTCGCCTAAGGGGCTTTCGTGGAATGCGACTTAGGGAGTATTGGTGGGACGCATAAATGTTCAAAATGAAACTAACTTGCTTCCGGAGGGTAGGTGAAAGCAAGCGATTCCCATGAAGAGACAATACAAATACCTCAGCCATGTGGTATTTCAAGGAAAGCTCAGAGATTAAGCCCCTAGCACACGCAGATGAAAATTTTATACTTAATAAGGCATTAAACGACCAAAAATAAACGACCAAAATTGACTAAAATCGGAAACACATATAATTGTAAACACCACGAGAGCGTCTGAGGTTGAGGTTATTTCCGGAGATTTCGCGATTTATTTACTAGACCAAAGAACCCCCAGGGCGCGCAAGGATACAATCGAGATAGAAAACGTGCAAGCGGACCCAAAACCATACACTGCATGGAACTTGGAAGGCAAGTTAGCAGCTGTGGCCCACAAGAACGAGTGTGCCACCTTGGCTGTTGAGTGATTGACAAAGCTGAACTCTGATTGGAGATGCTGAATCGGGTGGGAAGGCACGAGAGTTCAAAGTGGTAAAAGCGCCCACCCAGGTCAGGAGAGAGAGAGAGAGAGAGAGGGAGGAAGGTGGTGAATTTCTGAGGCGTGAACAACAAGCCCTAATGTCAGAACTGCCTCGTGTGCGATAAGTGAAAAAATTGTTACACGGGAAGATTCTCGACAACATTACCGATCCCACAAAAACCAAAATTCAGTGCGAAGCGGAAAAAAACAGTTCGCGTATACCAACAAGAGTGAATTTGTGAGATTGGATAAATTACAAAAGATTGCACCAATACAGAAAGGGTCTTTCATATCAGTTCTTGCATCTAGCTTCCAAAAAACGTTACTTATCAAGTCTACATGTAATTGTAGTAATTCATGAAGTCACTTGATTAACGGCGACAACAAATAAAAACCCGCGCTACACAGCTGGATCGAAAAATTAGACACACAGAAATATGTTTAAAGACAAATTCACGAATAAAACTCACTGTCCACTAAGGAGATTCTGACGAACTTGAAGGCATAAAAAGTAGCGCGTAAGATCTTCTGCTATCGAGTCGATGTTGTAGGGGAAAAACTTGACTTGAAACTCGAAGAGCCAATTTTCTACAGTTAAGAGTAGTAAGCGGTGTGACAACACACTGTACGACAAGCAACTAAAGAACTAGACAAAAACAAGCGTTCACTTACTGCCCACCTGTTTGGCGACCTTTTTATCCATTTTGAGCCAGCACTGAAAAAGCGAAAAGGTTGAGTAAAATGATGAATGTAACAACTTCATAGTTGGTTAAAATGTATTGCAGCTGTGACAATCCAGAATCAAATGGAACACAACGACTGCGTAGCTGTGACAAAAAGATAGCCCGATGATTCATCCCGGTTTAAAAGACATGCTGGCAGGACCCGCGACAATACCAAGATCCAAGAGAAACGAGTAGCCATGAGCGAATTCAGCACTAATTTTGGTTGAGATATTCATTAATGAATGCAAAATTTACCAAACAATTTATCACAAGAAATACGTGGTTTGTTGGAGGTTGCCTGCAAAATGTTCGCATGGATACAAATTTGGTTAGTCTAAGGCCAGAGACATTTGAGAGCCAGTGAGCATACAATTCACGACCGGTAACACAGCCAATGTCAACTAATAACATAAAAACAAGTGAACGTGAGGGGTCTACAAGGCCAGCGTTCGTTCGTGAGGGTCAAACGTGACGATTCAGCATCGTCAGGGGAATTTTTAAACAGAGCAAATCAGAAACAATGTTACAAGCCCTGTTGGTGATTATTTAATTCCAAAAAATCGCCCGTTATGACCCATTAATATTACATGAGACCGGAAAGCCATGAAGCTTAACGAGAAGATTACCAGATTCTATATAATTATTTGTGCCCACTGACCCAATACTATCTAAAACATTGGAAATATCTAGTACTCGAGTATTTCCGTTGTGAATAAATAAATGCAACGAGAGACTTCCTATGAAAGGAATCAGAGGAAATTAAACCATGATTTATTGCGAGAAGTTAATTATGCCATGGATCACACAAAACTCAGATACCCCATTTAAGAAAAATCGTACAATTCAAGCGGAGCTATGATAATTTAACGACAGAAATGCGAAAAACTAGGAAGTCGCTTGTCATTGCTTTTCAACAATTGTTGATAAGAGCCTGACTCTACAAGATGAAGATGAAATGGATGCTGGAGGCAAGGACGCCATCGACTATCGAGATTCTGTCCACCTTCCCTTGAAAGGAGCAAGTAAGCATTTAGACGAAATGGGAGGTGCAAAGGGTCCCAAAATATAGCAGGAACTGGGGCAAATGAGGAGAGCATGAAGAATACAGGAAGAAGGAACGGGCTGGTAGCCAATCAAAGCACCGTGTAAAAAGGCACTTTAAAGCACATTACAAGATGTCGATTAAGCACGATTGGAGCAACTACTCGGGGGCAAATAAACATCACAGTATTCATGAGTTATCGATGCGCATTGCAAAGCTGAAACGTTTGCATTTCGAAAAAAATGCACGAAGGCTAATGGACGCCGCTCGCACCGGCGGCAAACTTCCACCGGGTTAAATGCCAAAATCTAGGGCTCCTAAATGCGGGTAGGTCACTTTCATTGGTGGTTCGGATCATTTCACCATGGTCGCAAGTAAGAAAACACAGCAAACTGTGATCAATTGACGTCAGGAATTAGTCTTTCCCTAAGAACGTGTTGTCATAGACACAGTAGAACGGTGAGATCAAGAGACGAGGTATTTTACCAACAGGCTATCTCAGTGAGGTTTAAACAGCCAGTCAGAGTTAATTACAGAAGTACTATAAATTTGACACAAAAATTAGATGCAAACACGGTAAACGGAAATCCAAAATAAGCAAAAACTAGTAAATTTCCGAGGATACATTCTAATTCGCGTAATTCACACTAAACGGAAATCGCCAACCGAATGCACAATTAACCAATGCAACACAACGCAAATGCCTTGAGAACCCCGTTACGTGGACCTACGAAAAAATCGAGGTGTCTTGGTAAAAAATGAATGATGAATTACAAATCGATGCAAAACCGAAAATTATGATGAGAATTATCCTAAAAAAATGTTAGAATCTTGGCATGGGTCTATGTTCCGAACCAAAATGGACCGATTGCATGTCCAAATGGTGTGGCTAAAAATGCGACAGTTTATGAGGACTTCTAATGACTCAAGTTCTAAGATTAATAATACATTTAACCAAATTTGACCACCTCCCATCAACGTGAGGGCCAACAGATATTGCTTTTTAAAAATTGTTACCGAAAAACTCATCGATGAGGTGCTTTGGAGAATGCTGGTGAGAGATGGGTGCACTGTGGATTCTCGGAAAAATCTCGCCCGAATTGAAAGAGAAACCTGCCAAGCCTCAATGGGCTCATGGCCTGACGTTGCCACGGCAGGGCGCAACGCCCTTCCTGTTGACCGTCTCATTTACCCCGAGGTTGATGTGACCTTTTTGTGAAATCAGTAGCACTGACTTGATGGCAGCTATGCGAAAACCTCTCACGCATGCACCTGAGAGAGCCTATACCACTTGGACGCGAACCAGCACTCGCAAACATCGGCGTTGGCATCGTCCACTTCAAGCAAGACCGTATTCAACCGACTACTGTGTGAAGCGCGGTTAGTCATACGAATTGCCTAAAAACCAGCTTGCCTTGCATTACAGCACTAGCGTTGCCGGACGACGATTGCTGTGCCAATTACGACCTTTTCCTGCCAACGTTTCCAATAGGAGAATGTATTGGCGTAGGCATTCATAAGATATACTAACGTATTTCGGCGACAACTTTTTCGTTAAACGGATGTTTTACGTTTCCACAAAAAAACAATTCTTACCAAAACACCTGTTTTTTTTTCTCAAATGAAAGCAGATGCATAGACCACAAAAAAGGGTTAGGGGGTGCTGGGAAAAAAAGTGGTAAAGGGGCACAAAAGCAACTTTCTGCTGACAAGTGAACACCATGCCAAGTTAGTACTGAGCAAATAAATTTGTCTGAACAGCAGATTGCTCACTGAAGCCGACATGCGTGAATTTCCAGTGCTCAACCAATATAAGAGATCGCTGAAACGTGTTGGTATGTTGTCACCCGTAAGGGAAACCCGCTAGTTAGTTTCAGGCAATATGAGTGGGCAGCGAAATGTGTACCACTAGAGCGAGGTGACCTCCTTAAAATTCGTAGCACATGTAATCCCGGTTACCTCACACTTCTACAAACTTTTAAGGAAACATAGTAAGAGGCGGTAATTAGTCCTGCTGGTTAAAAGAAGCAATATTAGTCAAATGCCTTTACAAAAAAAACCAGATGGCTTTACCGATACTTAAGGCATATTTAGAAATGCTGGTTCTATTTGGTTGAAAGCAGTAAGGCTTGAATCAATAAGATTCATGTCACGGTAACAAACGATGGGAGCCAAACTAGGGATGCTGACCCATTGGCAACTTTAAATACGGGTGATGTGACGGTTACCTGTCATAGTAGACGCAGAAGAAAGATAAACACGGTCAGATCAAATGACACAGACCAAAACCAATGAATTTGACTTGTACTCAAAATCGAATACTTCAATTCTGAGATAGAATAATACCTCAGCAAATTTCGAACCTTCTGTTATATCACCGAAGTGCGTGAGTAGGGATCCGAGTCAGGCTTGTGCACAAATTCCATATAAATTATCATCGGATTATAGCAACGTTTGACGGACGAGTTAAAATGAACATAATGTGATAAAAATTTGATAATTAACCTCTGATAATTTGAAACCAAGATAAAAAAGGAGGTTATAATATTCATTCTGACTTTCATGGCATTACTAAATTGCAGCACATTTTCATGTTGATAGACAAAATACTAGCTTTACTCCAGGTTGACCTCTAATTTTGAAACGAAGGTTCATGCCATGATGGAAGGAAAACAACCCTAGAAGAGGCTGGTGGTTAGTCAGCACGATTTTGAAAAAAAATTGTTGACATGGTGGGAACACGCCACGTTGCATAGAGGCGTTATCTAACCAACGTGAACATTAGGCGACTGACAGACAAAAAAGCCAAGAAACGCATCCAAGTTAACCGTGTGGTGCATGAACTAAAGACTAAAGCATTTCTTTGCGGGGAGTTGAGTGTGGGGTGTCAGTCAGCCATACGCATGCCCACATTGGTTAGGTTGCATATTGCTAAGTCAATGTCCCATCACATTATTCCAATTTCGCAATTGTACTTTTTCTGCGCCAGTTAGGAACATTATCCATTGTGCAGAAGCTGGCATCTACAGGAGCAAACTGATACCAGTATCGTCGCCATTGTCTGCGTTCTAAATTAATTACAGAAATTTAGTATGGATGGTCGGCAATTTAAAAAAAAACACGAGTAAATTGAGTAAAAAGGGCAATAGACACAAGCACTAATTAGAACAAAAGTGACATTTGTTCAAAAATCGACTGAAACAAGGCGTCGGAAACAGCCAAGGTATTAACCGCCTTTTCTATGTGGTATTCATGATCAATGACAAACAGTAAGAGCCGGCCAAAGGCGCAAGGAGGCTACAGACAGACACAGGTAACACAAGGCCTAGGCAGAAAGGCCGTGACAAGAACCAATTACGCAAAAACCCAAGTGCGTGTAAATTAGGGTTGCGACGGTTGCGTGCAAATAAAGGTGGATCAGAAGGAAAAGAGGTGCAGTTATGGTTACAGGATCCAAAAGAAAATCTTTTAGCACTGCGTAAATGACACAAAAAGAGAAATAAGAAAGTAAAATCCCGAATTCTACGACCAACATAGTTTAGCTTTGAGCCAATCCGACAACATTACCAAAATTATTAAACTCGGCGTGTAAAAATCGTGGGGACTGCGTCATTCGTAATGGTCTGGTATAACAAAGAGGGGTCAGAGCAGATCTTGTGGCTAAAAATGTTAGCACAAAGCTATGTTATCAATGTACTCCATTCGATTTTGCTGATAAAATCACACATTTTCAAGCAGTAAACAGAATTCGGCAAAATCATCCTTCAGAGACGTCATTGGCAATGCAACAACTTTTGTGGGAGCATCCAAAAGATTTCAGTCACAAGTCCCCAAATCCGTTGGTAGAAAAAGGACATACCATGGTGTTATCAGGAGCAAGGTACTTGATTCCAAAGAAATCGGTCTCTAGGAGATCAAGATTGGAACAAACTGCATCAAAAAGTTGTTGGCCATACGCCGCTTTCTATAAACAGCAGATAAAATAATTGTGAACTGACAAGTGGTGAGGCTGATAGCGCTAAAGACAAAATTAACTAACATGGGTGTCAAATACCGTATTTACCAATCTTTAATTAGAATTCTCATCGAAAATAAGTAACATAAGACCTTAACTATGAACAAAACACATTTTCTATGAAGCTGTCAGAAAGAGACTCAAGGGAAAATGAAATTTAGTGGTTTTTTGAAGCTCTTAGGAAAACAAATGCACTTTAACTGTCAGAAGAATGCTGATTTACAACATGTATGGCTTCAAGAATCTCCAGGAATGTTCACAGACACGATACTTTTCACACTATCATGGGAAATGTCAATAGCACTTAAGGGTAAAACTGATCTATGTTAGTGATAAAATGTAAAAGCTAATAATGTTGCGTAAGTAATCTGGGTAACGTGATGGAAGGTAAAACTATTGGTCTTAAATAAAACACAAAACAAACTACACTGGTTTGGTTTTCAACTCTTCGATTCAAATAACTACATAAAAATCGGAAAACAATTCAGATAAACCTACGTCAATGTTAAAAGTCTGTTGAAGTCCATCAAGCATGATCACCGCACATTCCACCGACTTCCCCGATGGCTTGAAGTTTGAAGCGGAATTGCTTGACCGCCCATAGGTAGCAGTACGGCCCATAGTTGCACTAGGATAAGGCGAACCCACGGCTGTCACAGGAGAAAGCATCGTTCCTGCTCCACCGAGAACTGACCCTCCGGAAACACTTCCATGTCTACACATTGTACCGAATCGACGCAGGCTAGTGTAATACTCGCGTTTGGGGACGGAGTCGGGGACTTCAATTTTGCCACCATATTGCTGCAACGTTGGTACGCCCCGCATAACGTTCTGTTCAAGCTGAGTTAAGTTGACTGAACCTGCAGTTGTTTCACCGCCGTCTGATCGTCGGCCAGGAGAACCGATTACTGGACTTCCTGGAAAGTTGAAGTTGTCCTCCTATAAAAATTAAAAAAATTGAGGCAAGTGAAAAGTCTAGTGAATGAACACCAGTCCCTTATCGTGCTTGATCAAGGCAAAATGATTTATGCTAGGGTGCAGTGAAGAAGCGAAAGTGCCGTCAGATGTCCAAGGCCAAACGAGCAAGTGAAATGGACTATGATCGTTACGAACACACCGGTAAATAGAGCCAAAAAACCAATTTACCAGTGAAAGGGGGCGAACTATGCTCTAGAAAGGGCAGAAAACGATGGGTATCAGCAGTTATTAAGAGAATGGAAATTACACCCTAAACTAAAGACCTGTTAAAAAGTGCTTCTTTATCTAGTAGACCATGCAGCCTTTCCCGGAAAACATGCATTATTCTAAACGTTTAAGATGCAGAAAAATGACGCTTAGCCAAAACGAAGACGTACGATTGGCGAATGTGTTTACGCAAGATGAGCATAAAATCGTACCCGCTGCTGAATTCTTGTTGGATCTTGAGACAGATTAAGATACATTAAATACGCGGAAGTCAATACACCTAAACTACGGACAAACATGGCAAAGCAAATTTTTCAGCGCAAATGAGCATCCATTACTGCAAATACAATTCAGACTTTGTGTATTAAAAACGTCGCCACTTTAAATAACAAATAAATGAAGTTTTGAGATAATAAAATCATGGTTAACAGGCTGAAAGGACCACACGTGAACGCATTACGCGGAACAACGCTTTTAAATGGGCGGTTGATGACACATAAGGAATAAGTTCATGCTGGATTTGCATATTGGAAGTTCGAAAATACTTAGATGCAGACATATTGTTGAGTGCTTAATTAGCTTTAAGCCTTCATGTATTCTGACAATGCAAGAATGTATAACAAGGATCTGTTTCACAAATTTGTAACAGTAAATCATAATCAAAGTTGAGTTACATCTAGCCATCATGTGCCTTAACATATCTGTAGACGCACACTGCGGAATAGAAATTTCGATACGATACAATGATATGTTTCGTATTAATTTAGGTAAATGGCTTATAAATACAAACCACTTGCTGTCGCAAGTCCACAACCCTGACATCTGCAGCAAAAATAAAGATCCAAAAACAAAAAAACTACAGGAATACGAATATCCTGGTTGAACGGATTGGGTAACCATGTACAAACACAAAAGTTTAAAGGTAAATCTACTAAAGGCAGGTACAAAAAAGTAAGCATGGAACCTTTTTTTCCTCATGCAAATCCAAAAAAATAGTAACGTGAAATTTAATATAAACATTATCTGATCAGTGATTTCCAATTACTAATACCGCAACAAGGTACTTCATTAGGTCATTCGAAATCGACACCATATGGAAGTGCTCCGGGTGCAAATAAGTGTGTGCGTGTCTACTTTTAGTAAAAAATTCAAAACATAATGGAAATAGCTGAGGAAGGTACCCAGAATAAAAAGGAAGTTTAGATTCAGAGGATGCCAACGATTGAAAAAAAACAAAACACTTAAGGAAATGCGTAGTCAGACATTGAATGGCCCAAGTAATGAAGCTCACAGGAAGAAGGGCCATATCACATAATACAGTGAAGGCGAATAAGCGGATCGTGTACGAAGAACGCCAACACCAACAAAAGAACCTTGTAAGCAGGACTCAGCAAGGCGCCAGACGACTATTGGACGAAGAAGAATGGTAAGGAGGACTTAAGGTCATATTTGGAACAGATAAACAAATAAAATTATTTAAAAAGCTTTGCAAACATTGACCAACTTTTTGAAAAATTTAAATTATTATTGACATGGTGACATATACACTGGACACAGGCATTTCTACGTTTTTTGACTTAGCATAATGATCTCAGAGAGCTTATGTAAAATTCCGATGTTCTGGAATTTAAATATTAACTGATCACTACCTCAAAATTGACACAACAGCGACTGCAGTTTTAGAGCAGAGCAAACCAAAAAAAGACAGTGGCTGCTCTAGAAATTTTAAAACTACCTTTTTATAACTAATCACGCGATGGCCACGCCATAATGGACAACAACATCTCAGCCTGAATAAAGGTGTTGCTTAACAATCCATGTCACACCAATTTCATTTGTAGGTCTTTATTTGAAATACATGAAATATATTCATTATTTAAAACCCACAAGAATACATAGCAATGAAAATAATTGAGCGATTTTTTTTTCTTTTATTTAAAAAATTAGAGTTACACAACAAATCGCTGATATAAATTTAAAGATTAACAAATGCACAAAAACGTGTAATTTTAAATAAGCAAATAATGCGGCTTAGCGGGAATACATATTTTGATTTCCGAATTCAAGGGAAGTGATGAAAAAAATGTAATAAAATTAATATAAGGAGTCTGTGGATTTTTATGAACTTAGTAGCCGATGTGATAGATTGCTGTGAAAAGACGAAAGTAACGACACAAAACAAGCTCGTATTCTGAAAAACTATGACCACAGAAAGCTCATTAACGTTTTCATTCTACACAGAGCTCTGATTAAGGTGTATTATATTTTGGGGTTTAAACTCTAAAATCAAATGTGGATATGTGTAATGGATATTGACGTTAAGAAAAATTAAATTCGTTTTTATTGCCTGCATGTGAACAATCTTCCGATCCAAAAAATAGAGATCGGAAACAAAGTAATCAATTATGATGCTTCGCGTTGCCAGTCATCTCAACGTCTGCTTTGAATAATATTGCAAAATATTCCGCTAAGGCGCGACGAAAAACTAGTGCATGCCATTAGGATCGAAAGGGCAGCATAGGGGATTAAAAACAGTTCATATTAGGTATTCAAATTAATGATCTTCAATAAAAAAAACATACCTGCTACATTTAGATGATTATGTAGGTACCATTGACTCAAATAAACCAAAACCACAAGATAGCCAATTTACGAGGTCAAGAAATCGTCTTAAAAGGAAATTGACCAATAAAATATACTACTGTCTATCCGACGTCCCTAGTCATCCTCGCCACTTCTATCGCCTGAAACTGTGCAATATGATAGACGTAGATCAGTTTAAATTCCTCACTAGGAACTCGCAGTTCATCCAGGAACCAAAATAATATCGAAGCGTTCAATAGCCTCAACTTCCGCAATATGAACCTGTTTTCATTCCATTCACAACGACAAGGCTGCAGAAATGACAGATATTGTACTCGTTGGGGATTAGCTGTGCGTACGATAAAGATGGTCTTTCCGAGGATTAAGCTAATGGTTAGTTCTAGTCGCTCTATCAATGACAGTTAACCGTGCTCATCATCATATTATGCACATCAACTGCTCACAGAGATTCAAGCATGCCCGTAAGGAGGTTCATCTTCTTATGCTTGACAGTCTTTGTCAATACGTCAATAGATAAAAAAGTGTATCAAGTCGTTTGGCAAATTATAGAATTTCAGTCAATTGTTTGGAAACATTAAC